GCTAAAAAGATAAAATTAAATGTTTAATTAAAGGGAAAAAACACATAGGTATCAAATTAAAAATTGAGAAAAAGTATAGGTACCTCTAATATGGTTTTCCAATAATTTATGTACTCTTTTTTTTTTAAAAAATAATTTGAGCCGTGACTCTCTCCGTCGTTGTCCAGATTCTTTTCACTCTCTGGAATCTCCTCTCCAGAACCGATGCTATGTCTCCGAAACTCCTTTCACCGCTCTTCCCTTGGCTCTTCTTGCTGACCTTTGCATCCCTCTTTTTCTTTTATTCATTTGTTTCTATCTATAGACCCTCTTCGTCAACCTCTAGATTGATCACAGTTCCCACATCCTCCTTCTGTAATCTCTTCAGAGGCAGCTGGGTCTTAGATCCAAATCGCAAGCCATTGTACGATGAGAATTGCCCATTTCACCGGAACGCATGGAATTGTTTGAGAAACAAGAGGGAAAATATGAACCTGATCAATTCGTGGAAATGGGTGCCTGAGGGTTGTGAGCTGCCGCGAATTGACCCGTTTCGATTTATGGGGTTGATGAGGAATAAGAATATTGGGTTTGTTGGGGATTCTCTGAATGAGAATTTCTTGGCTTCGTTTCTATGCATTCTGAGAAATGCTGATGCGGGTGCTAAGAAGTGGAAAAGAAAGGGAGCTTGGAGAGGAGCTCATTTTCCCAAGTACAATGTCACTGTCGGTTATCATCGTGCTGTGTTGCTTTCCAAATACCAGTAAGAATATTACTGCGTTAGTTCTTTCACTTTGAATTATGCATGAGTTTCTTTATTCATTGCTTTCTACCAATATTAGTAACTAGCAGGAACAGCTTCATAGCAATAGAACAATTTGTTACTTGCATTATTCGGTCTATTGAGATTTAGTTCTCGAATATGTAATGAGTATAATTCTCAAAAATAACAAATGGTGGCACATCAGTTTTTTGAGGAGATCTCCGGGTCATTTGGTCGGAGAACTGCAACGAGTTTTTTTAGCTTCAGGTGCATTTTACTAGTTATTGAAAATAGTTGCTTTTAGTTTACTTGTGAGTTGCTTGCGCACATGTTTTGAAATGATGTTGTTCACTGACTGGGAAGGAAAAAGAACGCTTATTCATATATACTGAATTCATTAGAGGAATAAGGTGCGTAAAAAGTGTGTTTTACCTAGGAAGAGAAACTGGCTTTTATTAGAATTTAGATATTTTTAGGATCAATCCAATGGAGCACTAGCTTAGAATATGAGATCTTTTGTATAATGAGCTTCAACTCAAAATCAGCAGGAGTGGGATTAATGACATACCTTTTATATCTCATCTGCGTGATGCATTAAACTTCATCCTTCAAGTGTGTACAGAAATGCAATTTTGTTTGTTAGCTGGTATGCTATGAATATCATGGCCAAATTTTTCATGAATAAAGATATTTTTGTCTAAATTGTTGGACATTTTTGGTAGACATGGGCGTATTTTATGGAAGCATATGCCTGCTGGTTCACAAGTGTAGCCACCTCCTGCTCCTACCTATCTATAGTCTATACATTAGCCTGCTGAGGGTTCTCTTTTTATGGTGTCATTATGGAAGTGACACTGCTACTACTGTTAGCACTCCAATACAAACTGCAATTTTTTTGTTGGTCTTGTTTTAAGACGCATTGCATTCTAGCTATGAGAGGATACAGAAGAAAGGGGAAAGTGCAAAAAAACAATAAATTTTGGGCCACTTGCAAATAACCCCTAAACTTTTGAAAACAGAAATAAAGACCTTGTTTGGTATAGGAAGAAGAATTCTCTCTCCTTCCTCCTTTTGTAATGCCTATTGTGTTCATGTATTCATTATTCAAGTGTTTTTATTCCTTTTTGGTGCTTCTTTAAAGCAGTTATTGAAAGGTCATTTTCACCTTCAAAATTACTTCCTCCATTTTATTACTTTTCCTTCTGCATAATAGATGGCTCCTAAGTCCCTCAACTTTCACACTTCAACTCAAATACCATAACAAACTTTCCCATTACTGATGTGGCATTTTCTCATATGTCTCTAATGTTAGCATGTCAATCATTGGACATCTAATGTGACATTTGAGTTAAAAGTTAAGGAAAATAGAGAACAAAGGGTCTATTTCTTGGAGTGGGAAGTTTTATGTTTTGCATTTTTCTCAAAAATAATGTTCTATTTTCACTAGTTTGTGCCCTTATAATTTTGAAATAGCAATCTCATATGCTTATTACTGATTATCAAAAGGTGGCAGCCAAAGCAATCTGAAAACGGACATCAAGAGGGATCAGAAGGTATATATCGAGTAGATGTTGATGTTCCTGCAGATGATTGGGTTAATATTGCAGGCTTCTATGATGTCCTTGTGTTTAACACTGGCCACTGGTAAATTCTTGTTACCTATGCTGAACTTTGAAACTGTTAAATTATGGAATACGTTACTGCTTACATGCATATAGAAAAAGCTGTTGAGCCTAGACATCAGAAAGAAGACAGAGACTTGGCTAGTTGTAACTGTTTGAAGTTTCTAAATTTATAACCTATCAGTTACTCAGCAATTCTGGTCTTGAATAGGTGGAATTATGACAAATTCCCAAAAGAGAAGCCACTTGTCTTTTATAGGGCTGGACGGCCAATTGTTCCTCCACTGGAAATGTTTGATGGACTAAGAGTTATTCTTGACAACACAGTTTCATACATACAAGACAAATTCCCAGCAAAGACACTGAAGTTCTGGCGTTTACAATCTCCAAGGCACTTCTATGGTGGAGACTGGAATCAAAATGGAAGCTGCTTGTTGAGCAAGCCCCTTGAGAAGCATGAGGTTTGTATTTTTGTAACCTGCCTCGTGTTTAAGCTGTCTATATGATCTTACTTTTCTGCCTCTTGCTTGCATTCAGAGATCATCTAAACCAATAGACTCGAGAACCTTGTCAGGGATATAATAAAATCATTACACGCTCTCACCTAACAGCCTAAACTTTGAGTTGAAATGATCATTGACTCTTTTGTTTCATGCACTAGTTGAGAGAAATAGATACTAATATCTGAGCAGCTTGACTCATGGTTTGAACCCAGGAACAATGGAGTTAACCAAGAAGCAAGGCAACTGAATCTTCTGGTTGAAAAGGCATTGCAAGGAACTGACATCCATGTGCTTGATTTAACTCACTTGAGTGAATTCAGAGCTGATGCTCATCCAGCGATTTGGTTGGGAAGGCAAGATGCTGTGACAATCTGGGGTCAGGATTGCATGCACTGGTGTCTGCCTGGTGTCCCTGACACATGGGTTGATATATTGTCACAACTGATCCTTAATACATTAGGAAGAACCAGTGGATCATGACAAATGGAAAGGTTTTTATGTAGATCCAGTCTATAAAAAATAAGAGACGAAGTCTATACGAATATAAACAAGGAGTTTTTCAACTTTTGGAGAGGTTGAGTTTTTCCCTTGACAAAATCAATTTTTAGACAAAGTAAATGATACAAGTCCAAGGGTGAAAAACTCAACCTCCCAGGCATGTCAAATGTAGGTTCCATTGAAAAAATGTATAACACAATTTCATGTCTAATTATTTTTAGTTTAGTAACACTTATCTTTTATAGATTGGGTCTACCTAAATTTTTTTGAAAAGCACGATTAGAAGTCATGAAATCCACTTCATGTGTTTGCCGTTGAAATGGTACGAGGCTTGTTTATTGTGGAGATGTGAGAATAGAGGGTCTTCTTTGAGGGGTTAGATGCAATATCCAATGCTGATCTTGTGAAGAAAAGTTGCAGCTCAAATTGGGAGGGAAGCCGTGATTGATTTTGTGAAGAGAAATTGATAGCCAATAGATGCAGCCCCGCCAACTTATTCAAATAATAAATTAGTAACTGTTGAATTTAAGAGTAAGCTTGTTGGTTATGGATGACCTGATGAAGTAATTATCTTAGCATTCTTAGATGTGGAAGCTTCAGTGCGTCCTTTTATATCCTGCACGGAGCAATAGGATTGTGAGTTTGCTGATTTATTATTTACTCAACCTGGTCATTTTATTGGGCCTTTAACCTGTTTTGGTATTTGGAAAGATTTGAAAGCTTTCAATTTTTTATATTCAATCTTGTAATCATTTAATATTCTGCAAAAATATTAAATATAAAATTTATGGAATGTTATTTATTGTTCCAAAAATTCATGGTATGGAATAACTATTCTGAATTTTGATGACTACAAAATTAAGGAAATGCATATCGTGTACTTGCTAAAAAAACACTTATTTTTTATTGATGTGAAAAGTGAATGAGTCATAAAAATCTCTATATAAGTTTAAAATTTATTAAAAAGTCGTACTCTTTCGATTTTTAATATAAAACTTAATTATTAAGTTAATTTTAATTTTTTATATAAGACTTATTTTTTATATTTATTAATTTTTTTTAAATTACCCATGTTAATACTCTTTTAATTATAATTAAGTATAAGAAGAAGGGAGGATATTAAGAGAAATGATTATATTGTTTTAGAAAAAATATCATTTTTTTTTATAGTTGATTAACTTATCTAATTTGTTTAATCTAATTGAATTAGTTAAATATGTTTTAAATTAAGGACCTGAAAAGTATTATGCAGTGTCATAAATAATGTGTTTTTGTTTCAAATTCCGCACACTTTGGAGGACCACATTCTCGTTTTTCATGATTATTTATTTTTTGTGAAATACATGTCAAATTGCTATTGTGGGATCAATTCTTTTTGTAAATGTCGTTTTCAAGTGCCTGCACAATGTCCCATTTGTAGCCTCATGGATGAGACGCATCCCATTTGCAATTTTTTTTATATGTGAAACACAGCTTAGAGAGCAAATTGTGCAATTAAATTTTATAACTTGCAAATGGGCAGGGCATTGTCCATGTAACGATCTTCCCATACAATCCATATCCATGGGTTCCAATCAATCCATTATGCCAGGAATTTTGCACGCAAAGAACACAAAACTACAATGACAATTAATATAGAAAATAATCATTATAATAAAGAGAAGTTCAAGAGCAATCATACGAGTTCTCAATGTAGAAGCAGGTACTTGAATGCTTAGTTAATAGTTACAAGTTGATCTACCCAGAAAACAGATATGATAGCACCAGGTTATGAACAGCTTTTTTGGATATTTATTTACTCCATTGGTCTTGTAAAATGTAACAGCGAATCTAGAAAGAACTTTTATATACAAACCAGCAGGATTTGAATGCTAAAAATTCACTGCACACACCAAATTTATGAGTCTGTTGATAAACACAAATCAGAAATGGAGCTGCTTGCACTGTGAAGATACAGCTTCTGCTGGACAGTAAGGACACTTGAAGGGTCGGGTGCTGCTTTTCGACAACTTCATGATTGATTGCTTGCAAAGAACATGCAAACATGGAAGCAGCATTGGAGGATTCTCTTCACTTGCTTGATCCCTACTCACTGGGCAGACAAAAATAGAATGAAACTGAAATTCCTTTCCCAGTTCTACGGGCACTGGCAGCTGTTTCATTGCCTGCCACTCTTGCTTCTTTGCTGCCATTACATTTGCCAGCTTCAAGAGTGTAGGCAACCCTTCAACTCCGGCGGCAACTGCCACACTCAATGGGCTCTCGTAGGATTGTCCCAGGAGAATGCAGAACTGCCGTGTCAGCTCTTCGGTAGTCCTCTCCCAATGGATTTGGGACATCAACTCAGAATAAGGGGAGTTGTCAAGCCTTCCTGCATACAAGAGGCAACCCATAAGCTTTTGGAACTCATCCTTGTGGAGGGAAGCAAAAGGAGCAAGATAAGTTCGGGCATATTTTAAGGCATCGGCTTGAGTTCCATTTTGCAGGACCTCTACAAACTGCAGCGTATGAAGCTTAAGCTCGAGATTGGAAACACTCTGGATAAGTTTAGCTCGGTTGGCAGAGATCCATGTGAGAGCAGGTTGGAGGTTCTTAACTCTCATAGCTTCAAGAATCTGATGCATTTCCAGGAATTGAGATCTTAGTGAATTTAAATTTGGTTCCCCAGCTTCATTCATGATGCTATCTCCAAGGTCAAATTGCCCTTGACGGTAAAAATGGTTTGCAATAATCTGATTCACAATGTGAAAGTCAAAGTCAACATTTCTGTATGCCTTGGATACATCAGGATTTAAGGATTTCTCCAGAAGTTTTTGGTACTTGGTAAGACTTATATTCAATTCTTTCTGTGGTCCTTCTAGCTGTTGAAGCGCCCCAATAGCATTAAGTTTAAACTTAAGATCTGTGAGTATAGATTTCTGGTCTCCAGGAGCTGAGTCATGAGCTGACTGAATTTTCGCCAAAGCCTGTTCAATTTCAAGCCCTACCTGATCAATGACTTCTTGGAACTTAGAAGTAGATAACTTCTGTTTCTTAGATACACGGTCAAATGCATCTCTAATACTATTCAGCTCCATCTTTGGTACTTTGGTAAGAAGCCACTGCAGAAATTTAACAAAGAAACCAATTAGACATGCTCCAAAAAAAAAAAAAAAAACTACTAATGCTTCCCGGGTACGAACTAACAAGTATGATGATAAAACCATTTATTGTATATACAACAAAGTGAATTGCTAGCTACATCACATCAACGCATCTGGCCTTAATATGAAGAAAACAAAAATGAAGCACTGCAGTTTTGTTCACCGTTTACTCTTGACTGAGAGAAACCTTTCCAACAGTGCAAAGAGAATTGTAACTAGGAATATGTATGGTGAATAGTCAAAAAATTTATCAAAAA